TTAAGAAATTTTAAAAATAAAAATCAGGCCATTTTGTTTTAAAATCCAGATTCCCTTGAAACACTGAAAGAACTGGCCACGTTGGGCTCCCATTTCATGGCGATGACAAACTGAGGCTGCGCAATGGCTGCCTCCTCTAGATAGCTCCCTAATCAGCCACCATCCCCATGACTCCTCATTGCTTTCCCAACTCAGCCTGCATTCCTCATTGAATCTTGTTGAAGGCAATCAGGATTCCGAAGACGGTTGTCCAATCATTCTGTGGCACAATCTCTTTAAGACTGAACTCATCTGGCCCTCAGTTGGAAATTTTGTGTTTTGTGTGTTGTTGTTTTCTTCACTGATTCTTTTCACCATATTCCAAGAAAACTGTTAGAAAGCCAAGAATATACCATATGCTTTGCATCTCTCAAAACACCCAGCACAAAACTAAGAACAAAGTAGTATTGAATGAGTGCATAAACGAATGCATTCTCTGTGATCTTCTTCAATATCTGCTTTTCTTCCCCAAAATTATAGACTTTTGCTATTAAGATAGACTAAAATGATGAGGGGCATGTAATAAAAAATAAAACAGTAAAGTCAATCACTGCATTTCTATTTCAATTTTCCATTAGGTTGAAATGGAAATGGGAACTCTGAATAAATGTAGAACAGACCATTATGTCTGACAGCAAGATGAATTAAAGCCCAAGATACTTAGAATGCCTGCAAATAAGATTACCAAACACTATCAGTGGTCTTTGAGAGAATTATGAAAAATAGGATAGGTGCCAAAAAGCTGTAGATGGGCAAATGTTGTTCTAACTTCAAAAGGGGAACAAGTTATAACTTGCCAGTTCCTGACTAGAGAATATGATGTCACTCTCAGGCAAGATTCTTGAACAGATTTGTAAAGGGACATTTGTGAGCACACCAGTCAGGAAGCAATGTCCACTTGGAACCAGCACAGGGTCACCAAGAACAAATCATATTAAATTCATTTCATTTTCCTTCTCTCTGACAAGGATCCTAGCTAGTAGATTGAAGAAATAGGGCAGATATAAATATATATGTTTGCAATGAGGGGTTGGGCAGTGAAAAGGCTAATTGAATCTTGGGCTATATTAGTAAAAGCATTACATACAGCGTAAGAGAGGTGGTAGTTGTTTTCTTTCTCTGACCACATCTAGAGGATCTCATTTAGAACTTAGTAACACTCTTAAAGAAGGTTTTTGATAGTATCATCTTTTAGAGGTCTATTTGGCAAAACCTCTTTAAAAGCATAAAGCTCGAGAGGATGTGGAGAAAAGGGAACACTCATGCACTGCTGGTGGGAATGCAGACTGGTGCAGCCACTATGGAAGACAATATGGAGTTTCCTCAAAAAGTTAAAATGGAACTCTCATTTGACCCAGTGATCCCACTTCTAGGAATATATCCCAAGAAAACAGA